ACCATAAAGAGATGGTGAGTGATAGATGATGGAAATATGTCTAAAACCCACCACAATGTTTGACTTTACCTAGGGGAGTTAGTTCCAGTTTGTACCTGTTCGTTTGAGGGTCTTATCCTGTACTGACCTCAGACTACAGCCGCATACATTGTATGCTATCAGGTTTTGTCTGCCCCCCTCTTCCAGAAGGATGTTACGCATAATGGAACAAATTCAGAAACCTTGCACGGAAAACCCTTAATCTAAAACAGATGGCTATCTATAGAATTCCTTATTTAGGCACAATTTCACTTTCTGTGTCATTCAGTGAGATATATTTCTTTTCCACTGTATTCCATTAGAGTTTTAGGCATATTCAGTAAAGATAGAGACATAAGACATTGCTTTCCAGGCTTGTGTTCTATTCTTCCACAGATAAGATTACTTACCCTACTAATGTATGTTCAAAAAAGAAAAAGTAGAGGTGTTCAAAGGGTTAACATGAAGCCGAGTTAAAGTGTAATTCAAAGCCAAAAATCTATTTTTCATTTATCTGTTTTGCATCTCGCCTTACTGTATGCAGTTTTCTTAAAAAAAATCATTTTTACCAATTTATTGCAAAACGTCTTATTTAAAGATCTTGTCAGTAACAGCAGTTCCTCTTGCAGACTGCCAGTGCTAAGACGTTGTCCTGCAGTTAGCATCAGTGTTGTCAGCCGGCTACAGTTGGCCATTAAGCTGCCCATCTGATAGGCAGCCCAACCACCAACTAAAGGAATATTCACGGCAGGCTGATAATAATGCTGCTAATTGTGAGATGAGAATGCTTAGCTTTGTCAGCCTGCAAGAGAAAATACTGGTATTGGCAGATATTCAGGTAAGACACTTTGCAACAGATTCACAAAAAAGATGATTTGCATAGGAAAACTGTATACAATGAGACATGATGCTAAACCTGCTAGAAAATAGACTGTGGGTTTACATACATATTATACATAATAATATAGATACAGTAAAAACATATTGTATTTATTTAAAATACACAAAAATGTAGCTCTTTATTCATTTATACATCATTGAATATCTAATTTTAAACGCAAGTAGAAAAAGTACCTGATCTTAACTTGGTATCAGCCTCTTGCAGTTCATTACAGCAGAACTCAGACTGGGGAAAAGAGAAGCAGCACAAGAAATGCAGTGCCCAAATCAGTAGAGCTGTAGTGTAAGAAGCATGTTGATAAATCAGGTTGACAAAGAGATATGATCAGACTGTGGCCTCTTCTTTCCCTCTGCAATCACAGGCTGGGGGCGGAACAAGACCTGTAAGTGTTACTGAACTGCAGCAGGGAAAAATCAGGTCCTCTGTCCTGCTAGACAAGGCTGTATGGTATAGTAAAGATGTGTAAATAAAGGTATTAAAGCTTCCCTTTATGTATTTCATGTGTCAGTTCAGCTTTCAGGTGAGGAAGGGTTGGGTTTAGGATTACAGAGAGAGTTAGTGTGAAGGTTACAGGAAAGGTCAGTGTGAGGGTTACATGGAGTGTTAGTATGGAGGTTAAAGGGAGGATTAGTGTTAGGCTTACAGGGAAGGTTGGTGTAAGAGCTACAGAGGTTAGTATGAGGGTTACATGGAAGGTTGGTGTAAGAGCTACAGAGGTTAGTATGAGGGTTACAGGGAAGGTTGGTGTAAGAGCTACAGAGGTTGTTATGAGGATTACATGGGAAGTTAGTATGAGGGTTACATGGAAGGTTGGTGTAAGAGCTACAGAGGTTGTTATGAGGGTTACATGGGACGTTAGTATGACGGTTACAGGGAAGGTTGGTGTAAGAGCTACAGAGGTTGGTATGAGGGTTACATGGGAAGTTAGTATGAGGGTTACATGGAAGGTTGGTGTAAGAGCTACAGAGGTTGGTATGAGGGTTACATGGGAAGTTAGTATGAGGGTTACATGGAAGGTTGGTGTAAGAGCTACAGAGGTTGGTATGAGGGTTACATGGAAGGTTGGTGTAAGAGCTACAGAGGTTGGTATGAGGGTTACATGGGAAGTTAGTATGAGGGTTACATGGAAGGTTGGTGTAAGAGCTACAGAGGTTGGTATTAGGGTTACATGGAAGGTTAGTATTAGGGTTACATGGAAGGTTGGTGTAAGAGCTACAGAGGTTGGTATTAGGGTTACATGGAAGGTTAGTATGAGGGTTACATGGAAGGTTGGTGTAAGAGCTACAGAGGTTGGTATGAGGGTTACATGGAAGGTTAGTATTAGGGTTACAGGAAAAGTTAGTGTAAGAGCTACAGAGGTTAGTATGAGGGTTACATGGAAGGTTGGTGTAACAGCTACAGAGGTTGGTATGAGGGTTGCATGGAAGATTAGTATTAGGGTTACAGGGAAGGTTGGTGTAAGAGCTGCAGAGGTTGGTATGAGGGTTACATGGAAGGTTAGTATGAGGGTTACATGGAAGGTTGGTGTAAGAGCTACAGAGGTTGGTATGAGGGTTACATGGAAGGTTAGTATTAGGGTTACATGGAAGGTTGGTGTAAGAGCTACAGAGGTTGGTATTAGGGTTACATGGAAGGTTAGTATGAGGGTTACATGGAAGGTTGGTGTAAGAGCTACAGAGGTTGGTATGAGGGTTACATGGAAGGTTAGTATTAGGGTTACAGGAAAAGTTAGTGTAAGAGCTACAGAGGTTAGTATGAGGGTTACATGGAAGGTTGGTGTAACAGCTACAGAGGTTGGTATGAGGGTTGCATGGAAGATTAGTATTAGGGTTACAGGGAAGGTTGGTGTAAGAGCTGCAGAGGTTGGTATGAGGGTTACATGGAAGGTTAGTATGAGGGTTACATGGAAGGTTGGTGTAAGAGCTACAGAGGTTGGTATGAGGGTTACATGGAAGGTTAGTATTAGGGTTACAGGGAAGGTTAGTGTAAGAGCTACAGAGGTTAGTATGAGGGTTACATGGAAGGTTGGTGTAACAGCTAAAGAGGTTGGTATGAGGGTTACATGGAAGGTTAGTATTAGGGTTACAGGGAAGGTTGGTGTAAGAGCTACAGAGGTTGGTATGAGGGTTACATGGAAGGTTAGCATTAGGGTTACAGGGAAGGTTAGTGTAAAGAGCTACAGAGGTTGGTATGAGGGTTACATGGAAGGTTAGTATTAGGGTTACATGGAAGGCTGGTGTAACAGCTACAGAGGTTAGTATGAGGGTTACATGGAAGGTTAGTATTAGGGTTACATGGAAGGTTGGTGTAAGAACTACAGAGGTTAGCATGAGCGTTACATGGAAGGTTAGTATTAGGGTTACAGGGAAGGTTGGTGTAACAGCTACAGAGGTTGGTATGAGGGTTACATGGAAGGTTAGTATTAGGGTTACAGGGAAGGTTGGTGTAAGAGCTACAGAGGTTGGTATGAGGGTTACATGGAAGGTTGGCATTAGGGTTACAGGGAAGGCTGGTGTAACAGCTACAGAGGTTGGTATGAGGGTTACATGGAAGGTTAGCATTAGGGTTACAGGGAAGGTTAGTGTAAGAGCTACAGAGGTTGGTATGAGGGTTACATGGAAGGTTAGTATTAGGGTTACATGGAAGGCTGGTGTAAGAGCTACAGAGGTTAGCATGAGCGTTACATGGAAGGTTAGTATTAGGGTTACAGGGAAGGTTGGTGTAACAGCTACAGAGGTTGGTATGAGGGTTACATGGAAGGTTAGTATAAGAGTTACAGGGAAGGTTGGTGTAACAGCAACAGAGTTTAGTATGAGGGTTACATGAAAGGTTAGTATTAGGGTTACAGGGAAGGCTGGTGTAACAGCTACAGAGGTTGGTATGAGGGTTACATGGAAGGTTAGTATTAGGGTTACAGGGAAGGTTGGTGTAACAGCTACAGAAGTTGGTATGAGGGTTACATGGAAGGTTAGTATTAGGGTTACATGGAAGGCTGGTGTAAGAGCTACAGAGGTTGGTATGAGGGTTACATGGATGGTTAGTATTAGGGTTACATGGAAGGTTGGTGTAACAGCTACAGAGGTTAGTATGAGAGTTACATGGATGGTTAGTATTAGGGTTACATGGAAGGTTGGTGTAACAGCTACAGAGGTTGGTATGAGGGTTACATGGATGGTTAGTATTAGGGTTACAGGGAAGGCTGGTGTAACAGCTACAGAGGTTAGTATGAGGGTTACATGGAAGATTAGTATTAGGGTTACAGGGAAGGTTAGTGTAAGAGCTACAGAGGTTGGTATGAGGGTTACATGGAAGGTTAGTATTAGGGTTACAGGGAAGGTTGGTGTAACAGCTACAGAGGTTGGTATGAGGGTTACATGGAAGGTTAGTATTAGGGTTACATGGAAGGCTGGTGTAAGAGCTACAGAGGTTGGTATGAGGGTTACATGGATGGTTAGTATTAGGGTTACATGGAAGGTTAGTATTAGAGTTACAGGGAAGGTTAGTTGGATTTTGGAGAGGATTAATGTTATGGTTAAAGGACAGGTTAGTGTCTTTTGAAGATACCAGACAGGCCTGTTAGGTTCAGCAAAGCCAGTAAATTTAAAAACTTGATTGAAAAAAATACAAATCTTTTGACTTGATCTTTTTTTATTTCATATGTAAGTTTAGCTTTCAGGTGAAGAAGGGTTAGTTTTAGGATTACAGGAAAAGTCAGTGTGCCGGTAACAGGGAGATTACTGTGGGGGTTCAGCTAGGGTTGGTGTGAGAGTTACAGGGAAGGTTAGTATGAGGGTTGCAAGGAAAGTTAGTGTTATGGTTACAGGGAAGGTTTGTGAGTGTTTCGGGGAGGGTTAATGTTAGGGATTTGGAGTGTATTGTATGCAGTGTATTACATTGTTAAATGTTTCTTATAGCGGTTACTTCCAGTGTCCTGTAGACGTCTTTTAACCGCCTCCCACCCGCCATATAAGGTAATGACAGGCAGTCGACGGTTCTCTCATTGTGGGAGGACGTCATATGATGTCCTCCCACTCTAACTGCGCATGTGCACCCTCGGGGGTGCACGGCGATCGGTGGTGCGCTGTGTCCCTGGGACACAACGGATCACCGATCACTGTAAAGAGCCAATGACATCTGTTCTGTCATGTGATCAGCTATGTCCAATCACAGCTGATCACATGTAAATAGGTGACAACTCATGAGGAGAGGAGATCCGGTAATCGGCATTCCTCAGAGAGGACATCTACACTGATCATCAGGGCACTGATGATCAGTGTAGCCCCATCAGTGCCACCTGTCAGTGCCCATCAATGCCACCTGTAAGTGCCCATGAATGCCACATACCAGTGCCCATCAGTTCACATCAATGCCACATATCAGTGCCCATCAGGGCTGCCTTTCAGTGCCTGTCAGTGTTGCCTATCAGTGCCTGTCAGTGCAGCTTATCAGTGCTCGTCAGTGCCGCCTAACAGTTCCAATCAGTGCCGCCTAACAGTTCCAATCAGTGCCGCCTATCAGTGCCCATCAGTGCCGCCTATCAGTGCCATATATGAGTGCTGCCTTTCAGTGCCCATCAGTGATGCCTGTCAATGCCCATCAGTGCCATATATCAGTGCCTCCTCATCAGTGCCGCCTATCAGTGCCCATCACTGCAGCCTCATTAGTGCACTTCAGTGAAGGAGAAAAATTACTTATTTACAAAATTTTATAACAGAAACTAAGAAAAAAAATTTTTTTCAAAATTTTCAGTCTTTTTTAGTTTGTTTAGCAGAAAATAAAAACCCCAGTGGTGATTAAGTAACACCAAAAGAAAGCTCTATCTGTCTAAAAACAATTATAAAAATGTTGTTTGGGTGCAGTGTTGCATGACCGCGCAATTGTCATTCAAAGTGCGACAGTGCTGACAGCTGAAAATTGGCCTGGGCAGGAAGGGGGTAAAAGTGCCTGGTAGCCAAGTGGTTAATCTGGCCATATGGGGAGTGAACTTTGGCCACATGCCTTGTCCCTCTCCCCTTTCCTGCCGCTGTCCTCTCCAATCTTGTCTTTTATCCATTAATATTTAAACTTTTTTGTTGCGCGGGAGGGCCAGTTTTTATTTTATACTTTATTTTTTTACTCACACTAAAAAAAATTAGAAACATTTTAAAAAAACATGTCTTCATTTAAGCTGTAAATAACTTTTCGGTGTTTGTACCATAATCTTATTAAAGTTATCGCTGAATAAACAGGCTCTTCGCAGACAGTTAAACATTGCTCTGATCCAATAAGTGATACACGGGCACAAGAGCTGAAATAGTAACAAATATTAAATATTTGTAAAAATGAGAATTCAGATACCTGAAGCCTACACTAAAACCCTTTGTTACTTTGTCTCTTTAGAGTTTCTGTATACTAAAATGAAATCTCTAAAATTCTTCTTACACCTATAACATATGCAGGATACCAATTACCGGTATGTGTAGTGCAGTAGGGTCTGTTGCCTATCCATAAATCCAAATTATTTGAACGTATACAATGTGTATGGGGTTTTTTATTTTTGCATGTTTTTCAGGCCTCATGCACACAGGACATTATAAAAATGCCAGTAGCGTTAGCTGTAAAATGCTGTAATAAAAATGTGAGGTTTTTATGCTTTTTTGGCTTTTTTTAATTAGCTTTTTTTAGTGGTTTTTAGTGTTTTTCAGCATTTACATTTTCAGCAGTTATACTCTCACAAAATCTTCAGGCTCATAAACGCCGGATAGCTGCGTTTTTCAGCGTCTTTAAGCTTTTATTGGCATTTTTCAGCTTTTATCAGGGTTAGAGCATTTTTACAGCTAAAAAACTCCTGCCAAAAAATGCTGATTAAAGCCTTTGTGTGCATAAACACACAGGATAACATGCTGGGGAGTTTACAGGCTGTAGAAAAAAATGCCAGAAGCCAAATACAGCAGCTGTAAAAATGTCCAGTGTGCATGAGGACTCATTGCTTTACTGTATTTTATTTATTTTTGTTTACCTTTTTCCTTTTTTTTTCCCCTAACTACTAACAAGTCCCCTGGTGGCAATATATAAAGGCGATGATCAGTCCACACTCTAGTATGGGCTCACAAAAAACAATATTTCAGCTAGCAAGATTCTGCGGCTCTGTGCTATGTCACCATAGAGTTCCACTCTTACCATTGCTTTCCTTGTAAATTATTACAAGGAGAGCAATGCTTTCTCCTAGTAAGAGGACTGATAGGTGGAGCTGGGAGCTTGGCATAAAGAAATGGATGACAATCCTGGAGACAGGTTCTTTTAAAACAATTCAGCAGCGGTAACTTCTGTTTCTGTCATAACAGGTTCCCTATAAACTTGGTAACATCCACCTATGCCTACAACAGCAGTTGTAGGTGGGCTGACCATTTAGAGAAACTACTGTATATCAATTTTCTATCCCACAAAAAAAGAAAACACTTTTATATACAAAAACAAATCTAAAAAATATTTATTCAAACAAAAAAGTCCAATACATATAAAAAGCATTTATAGCACATCTAGAAAAAAAACTGCCCCTGGATCTAACAGTACATACAAAATTAGCTCATGAACAAAGCTCACTCTCAGCAGAAGACACAAAATCGATTGATTTTAAATGATCCTTCTTTTCCTCCAGAGGCGTCCCCTGCTGATTAATTGTGTCCAGTGAGCTGTGGAGACTTCAGGTCCGGTGACAGGTCCTTAGTGAGGATCTTGAGTGGCAAAGTGTGTGCTGAGGTCATACCAGACCTTACTTGGTAGCAGATTTGGCAGATAGGGAGTAGATGCGGGACTTAAGTGAGTCCCAGATGCACAGGCTATTGCCGTTGTTGACACAGGCCAAATTGGCAGCCTGGTGTCCAGAGTGGCTGCTCTTCTGTCTGGTCAGGTGGTCTGTCCAAAGACACTGGCGATCATCATCTACCTCACAAGGTGGAATGGAGCACTGCTTGATCTGCAATAAAAAATATTATCACTTGGTATTTTTAGAAGATTTTGGGGGAAAAAGTGGTGAAAGATATATGCAACAATTGCATGCCTACTCTTGACATAACAACTCTGGTGAAATTCCAGATGAACAAACAATTCTGAGCGTGAAATTGACTTCCTCACTGTTCTTCAGCTGATGTATTGAGACATAAGCATTTTCATAGATTTCAAGGGAATTTCCACTTTTGGTGACTTTATTAAAGGAAGTGAACAAACAACTAAGCAGATTTTACTACATTTTGTGTAGTTTTGTTCTGTTTTTGGCCATTTTATTTTATTCTCTGCAATATGTGTTTATTTCCATTTTCTTGGATATAAAACAAAACTCTTTCTGGGTACTTAGAAACAGAATCCTAAGCAGTGAGGACAAGAGAACTATGGAAATAAATATTAAATAGAAGTAATTTATCTAGTAAAAGAGTGGATTATGGACAGTTTGTGGAATAAGGAGTTACGGTCGAATGAGTAGAATTTCCTATGTCAAACCTCTACTCGTTGGACTGTAAATGAGAATGATTACACAGTGCCTGAAAACATGTAAGACTGACAGCACCGTGCAGGCAGCTGTGTCTCATGGTGCAGAAACACCATCAGTCTGATTTCCATTAAGCAGGGGATTGTGGGAAGTGCATATAATATGGTAGACATTGGTCATATGTATCAGTGGTAACTTGCATCAAGTGATCAAAACATCTCGTCTAAAAATCTGCATTCTTTGCTAGAAATTACTTTAAGCCCCCAAACAATTATATATTTTCTGAAAGCATTGACCCTGGAGAATAAAATAGTGGCAGTTTCAATTTTCTATGTCGCATATTTGCCCAGCTATTTATCAAAATATTAGCAATTGCAGCTGTAAGTTTTTTATGTCACACAATTTTAGGAAGCAATACAATACAATTAGTGCAAACACAATATTATATCCAAAGTTTTGGTAAAACATAAAAGACAGGGTTGTGTCAAGAAAATAGATACCAAATATGACAAGTCTTAAACCTGTGTGCATCTGTGAAATCACAAAACTATGGTACTCTAAAATGTTTTATAGGTGAGCAGGGGCGGACTGACAACTCATGGGGTCCCCGGGTAATAGGGGATCATGGGGCCCCTGTGTCCTTGCCCAAACTCAAAAAAGCCTATGAAAAAGGTACCAGGTGCATCTCATGGGGCCCCCTACTGACCCCGGGCCCTCGGGCAGTGCCCGAGTTTCCAAATGGTCAGTCCGCCCCTGTAGGTGAGGCTTCCAAACATTTACACTTTATAGAGCTTAGACTTTTTCATGAACTAAAGCTTTAAAATTATTGCTTTCACTCTGATAGTTGCAGTGATACCCAACATGGGTGGTATAATTTATATTTACATACGTGTGTGTTCCCTACTATGCGTTAGCATTGGGGTGTGTTTGGGAGTAACAAGGGTGCTTTTACGTTTTTTTTTCCTCATTTTTATTTTTTATCATCACTTTGTAACACTTTTTTAAATGTATTGCTATCACAAGGGAAGCTATGTCCCCTATATGATAGAATGGGCAGGTGTCAGGGTTACTAATGGAGGCATCCGAGATCTATTAGCTCCCCAATGTCTCCCCTGCCCAAAAGATTGTGCTTGATTAGCTGCTTCCCTAGCTACTGTAGTCAAGGAATGACAGCTCTGAACCTTGAATATTAGGACTTTTATAAACATACCTTGATAGAGAATGGGTTAACAAAATGATTTTGTATCTGACATCACAGCGATGACAAAAAATATATATAGTAAAAGTTGCAAGACACCATGTACAAGTAAATGCATTAAACATCAACTTAAGGTGCACAGCTCTCATTTCTCTCTTTGCCATGGTTATCCCCCCATGCATTCACATCATTTCTGTGTACTAAGCCACAGCCAGGAAATCGCACAGTTCTCCAGCAGCCAATCACTAGTGGCTGCCACAAAATGGAATGTGTGCGCAAAGCCTGATGTAAATCACTACCCCCATAATTGCAGCTTTCCTTGCTGCTACAGTCTCTGGGGACAAAGTGTCAGAATTCAGACTCTTGTGTACCGTTTGATTGTCCATGTTGGCAGGATGCAGCTAACAAACTACAATGCAGGGGGAGGTTATTGTTTATGATCCTAAAAGGCACTCTATAAAAAAGAATGGCACAAGTATGAACTGGCCTGTACAAGGTAAATGCCACAATGGCATGTTCTGCAGCACTATCAATCAATATTGGGAGAAAGCTTATGTGCTTTCTAAAGAGGTAAAACAACTACCTGTAGAAATCACCTGAGATGGCCTATCTGGGAAAAAGTATAGCAATCACCTAATGAGGAATCTGTCTGTAGATGGCTGAGCTGTTATTATAAAGGATTTACTGTATATAGTGCTAATAGTTTGCACAAGGAGACAATACAATACAGGGAGACCATGCAATTGCAATACAATTAAGAATGTTCTGTGATGACTTTAGGCATGCTTATTCTGGTATGAATCCACGCTGTCTGTTGCTTAAAATATTTTTTTTTCCAGCAAGAACTGATCAATGTGGTCTTCTATTATACTCTCCAGTATCTTCCCAACTATAGATAGTTACGTAGTTAGTCTGGCTGAAAAAAGACAAATGTCCATCCAGTTCAACCGTTAAAAAAAAAAGTTATAATCCTATACCCACAGTTTATCCAGAGGAAGGCAAAAAAACCCAGCAAATCATGATCCAATTTGCTCCTGCAGGGGAAAAAATTCCTTCCTGATCCCCTGAGAGGCAATCGGATATTCCCTGGATCAACTTTACCTATAAATGTTAGTATCCAGTTATATTCTGTGTATCCAAGAAACAATCCAGGCCTTTTTTAAAGCAATCCACTGAGCTGGCCAGAACCAACTCTTGAGGGAGTCTATTCCACATTTTAACAGCTCTCACTGTGAAGAAACCTTTCCGTGTTTGGAGATTAAATTTATTTTCCTCAAGATATAAAGAGTGCCCCCTTGTCTTCTATGATGACCCCAGGGTGAATAACTCCACACCGAGTTCACTATATGAACCACTGATGTATTTATACATGTTGATCATATCCCCCCTCTAATCTTTCCTCATAGCTGAGCTCCTCCATGCCTCGTATCAGTTTGGTTGCCCTTCTCTGTACTTTCTCCAGTTCCCCAATGTTCTTTTTGTGAATTGGTGCTCAAAACTGAACTGCATATTCCAGATGAGGTATAAGATGAGGTATAGGATGGACACTTGAGTTTGGGCACAACTTCTTGCTATTGTTGCTTCACTAGGTCAGTTGGGATATACAAATGATTGTGTATATCAAAGTATTACCACTGTGATCTCTAGATAATGTTTATGTCACTCTCTTATAAGTAAAACCCAAGATTCTTAACCTCTCTTAGGCTAGGTTCACACTTTGCATTGTGGGAACGCACGTAAAAATTCAATGCACAAAAATTCTTAATGGCACCCCAATACAACTTGTACTCCAAAACACAGTTTAAAAACTGTAAAGACTGTTATGTATCAGCACTGATCGGGATCTCACCTTGCACTCGCAGTTCTTGGCATATGCTTGCAGGAAACCCCTCTTCTGGCAGTAAGTCAGGGAAGCCCATGGTGCTATGAAGCTGCAAGAGTTAATGAACACATTGTTGTCCACAATATGTCCTGTAAAGGAAGGGTAAGAAACATTACTCAGAAGCAGATGGTGAAATAAAACAGAGGAGGAGAGCAGAAGATAAAATATACAGCAGGCCTTGTTTATCTGAAATAAGTACAGTCTATGTAGCCCTAATTTGAATACAAAAGCCTTTAACATAAAATGAAAGACTCTGTTTGCTGTGGTACAGGGCAGATAGTTCTTATTTCAGACACTTGGATAGATGAGGCCCTCTATATTAAAGTGCTGCCATTCAATCCTATGGGAATGAGTGACATCTTTAAAGCACAAAGAATGTCACTGATTCTCAGTAGTTGTCTAAATCTTGCCAGAATGGGGCAGTGGGATGAGTTTTCTGTTGGGTGTGAATAAAATCTCAGCTGTCAGTTGTCCCTTTTTTAGACCATCTGTCTCATTCTCAGGTTTAAGATTCAGATTTGTATAAATAGACATGTTTATTTAAAGTGATTCTAAAGGCAGAAGGATTTTTACCTTAATGCATTGTATTCATTAAGGTGAAAAACCTTGTGTATGCAGTCCAGAGATGGACTGTTCCTGCCATTTTCACGTCCAGAGCTGGTCTATGGGCCTGATGATGTCAAGACCAGCCCATTCACAAGACCACTAGCATGCAGGGGGCAGGAGCGGCCGGGACCAGTCTTCGGCTCGGAGGATCAGTGGATTAGGTAAGTACTGTATATCTCCGCTCTAAAATACCTTAGAAAAAAATGAGCAGTTAACCCATGTAGTAAGTAAAGCTATCGGGGCTACTTTTTGTCAAGTAGAGAGAATTAGTCCTGTAGAAAGTGGGATTCCTTGAAGAACATCTGGCATTCAGAAGTGTATGGGGGCCAAGCCTAATTTTATTATAAGGGCAATGGAGAGTGGAATTGTAGGTAATCCCAGTAGTGAGTGGATACCCTATTCTCTGGTGTGTAGGGCGTTAGTAAGGGTTGAAAATAAAAGTAGAGTGGAAGGGGGGCCAAGCCTAATTTTATTATATAAGGGCGCTGGAGAGTGGAATTGTAGGTAATCCCAGTAGTGAGTGGATACCCTATTCTCTGGTGTGTAGGGCGTTAGCAAGGGTTGAAAATAAAAGTAGAGTGGAAGGGGGGCCAAGCCTAATTTTATTATAAGGGTGATGGAGAGTGGAATTGTAGGTAATCCCAGTAGTGAGCGGATATCCCATTCTCCGGTGTGTAGGGCGTTAGTAAGGGTTGAAAATAAAAGTAGAGTGGAAGGGGGGCCAAGCCTAATTTTATTATAAGGGCGATGGAGAGTAGAATTGTAGGTAATCCCAGTAGTGAGTGGATATCCCATTCTCCGGTGTGTAGGGCGTTAGTAAGGGTTGAAAATAAAAGTAGAATGGAAGCTGAGGCCTGGGTTAAAAAATATTTTGTGGTGGCTTCGATGGCTCGTGGGTGTAGTGCACAGCCCCACTGCAAGGGCAGAAAAGCATTTTTGCCCGTAGTTCTTCTTTAAGGAAGTAAATGCGTGGGGATCTTCACAAAGTAACTTTACAAACTTCAAGATCATGTAGATTAATAGGCATAGGCTAGAAATAAATGAAATACAATGTGGAAATGAAGATGGATGGAAGTATGACTAGGGTGGGTGTAAAAGTTTGAGTACTAAAATTTGTCCCTCTGTCTTATGCTTGTGTGGGTTGGGGAATGTAGAATTATACTGACCAGCAACGATAAATTCTTCGCTCTTGTTAGTTGAAGCGTGCTGATAGCCACACAAACTCTCAGAGATGGAAGTGTACAGGTCCTGGATGTCCTCATATCCTTCAGGGGCCTTGAAAATCTAATGGAGAAATATATGTTGTTTTCAGTGTTGCAGTGCACTATAAAGTAAAGATTTACTAGGTTGCAATGCATTGGGGTTGATTTACTAGAGCATGTTAATTTTGCAAGGTGAATGAGATGAAACTAAGCAAAATTTACTTTGCAAATATTACCCAGTAATGTGCAAGGAAATTTAAATAAAAAAAAAAATCAGGATTTTTTCTTGCTTTTGACTGATGTCAACTTCATCTCATTTAGGGGGATTTTCTTTTACTTATTTTGAAGTAAATGAGGGTAAATCCCACCTCTGGAAGTTGTCTCTGAAAATGGTGTTCCTATTGGAAACAATTTCCTCCAATCCTGTTCTGTAAAATGTTGGCTTTCCCCTCATAGAAGCTGGCCTGGCTGGATCGAAAGTAGGTCGGTTCAGCAGGGAATGCATGAATTTCAATCCATCTATGTCCATTACTGCTCAAGAAGAGTCAATCTAAAGATCCACTCCTCTCAAGTGGGACTGTTAGGTTCATTTTTGTCTGATCAACACTTGCTGATTAGTGTATTGTGTGGTTGGGAGAATCTGCTTAGCTTTCTTTTCATTAGCCTGCTGGCTGATTGAAAAAAACGGAGTCATCTATGGCCAATTTAGGAATCTGCTTGGAAATCATATAATCCTCTGATGGTGTCATTGATGAAAAAATTTATAGGGTGGAGTCACAGCATGTGACGTCATCACACACCAGGATGCAGTGGCCATCTTGTTGGTTGGAAACAACATATGGTTATTTGGATATGCATGTTTTATCTTTATTACTGTGAGTGCAATGCTTAGAATAAATATTGTTAAATGGTTTTACTACACTATGAGATGGCCTTTTTCTCTCTTTTGATTGATATCTCTGAGGAGTAACGTCCATTTGATCAGATCGACCCTTAGGCTAAAGAGAATATTTATATGTGGAAGAAGCTGTTGGATGGTCCATTCCTGGAGATCTTATCATTTCTTATGAATCTATACTGCGCTGTTTGACCATTCCTTTTAGGGGAGTCAAACTGTTATGGTAAGAGGCAGTGTGATCGATTTGAAGGTGAAGGGATTTTCCTCTTCTGTGTACTGCTCTTTAAGGCACCATCAAATACTAATCATCCTACAAAGACTCTTTGGGTGGACTTTGAGCACTCTTCCATCTATTTTACACCTATTATGTTTTTGGAGGGATTTCATCTCATTTGATTATTTTTGTTTAAACTTTTAGAACAGGGGTCTCCAATCTATGGCCCTCCAGCTGTTGAAGTACTGCAAGTCCTATCATTCCTCAGCCTCTGGGAGTCTTGCCTGTGACTGTCAGAGTCTTGCAAGTCCTCATGGGACTTTCAGTTCCTCAACTGGAGGGCCATAGTTTGGAGACCCCTGTTAGAGGTTCCTGTGTTATCATCAGCGCTGCACTGTTTTGATATCTTAATCATATAATCTTACCTTTGTAGTCTTAATCCGATACTGCACTCTGTTGCTAATCTTTTCACTGACTTTCTGCCCAACAAACTTTACCCGCATCACTGTAGAGAGAAATGTTGTAATCAGCACTGACAATCAAATAAAATGTTTCATGTGGAATTTGTAAAACCGCTTTTCATTGTCTCCATATTTAAGATCAACCCACTATTTAAAGAAAATGTATAGTATGCTCAAAAGCAAAAATTTAATTTATTTATTATAAGTACCTATATCACTGTCAATTTACACAATGCTTTACATACAGTACATTCACATCAGTCCCTGCCCTCAAGGAGCTTACAGTCTAAGGTCCCTAACGCACATTCATATACTAGGGCCTATTTATTATTATTTTATATTTACCTACCACCTTGTCTTTGGAGTGTGGGAGGAAACCCACACAGGCACGGGGAGAACATGCAAACTACAGGCAGGTAGTGTCCTGGTTAGGATTCATACCAACGACCCCGGTGCTGCTATGTGGAAGTGCTAACCCCTTAGCCACTGTGCTGCACCTGGATATTGATTGTTTCAAGTGTGGCAATGGTATTCATTTCTTTTCAGGCTTTTGTTTTCTTTATTTTTACCTGGTGATCCTGCCAGTACCACACCCCTCAACTAGGATGACAACACTTACTCACTGTACTGTATTTATGGAGAAGAGGTCTCACTCTAGGCTTCCCCTCTGATCTGGGCTATAAACACCTCCCCCTCTCCTCATTCCTCATCTTAATAGGGAAGTTCATAGTTCACAGAAGATAGCTGGCAAAACTAATAACACTGTTGAGATCTCAGTTTAGTGCACAAGAGGTTACAAGGACACCAGAGTTCTGGCAGGATCAACCAGTATTTTTCTGTACATGCAGAAAATGTTCTTAGTCAGAAAAAAGAATAATAATTCAGCCAGCTAGGGTTGGTAAGCTGCAATCTACTAAATTTTTATTCATAGGTTTTGATATATTTCAAGCAGGAAGATTTAATGAGGTTGTGTCTAATGCAAAGCTCCCTCTAATGTTCAGAAATCTCAATATTTAATGCAATAACACAAATATCATACAGCTTGCATTTACAAATTGGAAGTCACATCAAAATGACTTCAAATTTAAGCCTACATTAATACAACAAATATATTCTCTTTCCCCTGGTTTACACTAGCCTGTATGCTGCAGGCTGATTGCTGGTGTGGGAATCGCAGCAATTCCTGCACCCGCAACCACCCGTAGCCGCATCGTGTTTCTCTTGTGAGAGGCGGGGGGGGTGAAATTTGCTCTGAAAGGCACACCACGCATCTCATCCCGCAGCGCAATCGCGGCGTGACGTCTGTTGTGGGACACACACGGAAACCACATGGTCAAAAGGGCTGTACGGTTTCCATTTGGTTGCATTTTGAAAAAGTGCATGAACCTTTTCTTTGCATCCTCCCTAGTTCACGCTAGTCTGTACGCTGCTGGCTGGTTGCAGGTGTGGGAATTGATGCGATTCCCGCACCCGCAACCACCCTCAGTCGCATTGCATTTCTCTTGTGAGACGCACAGGGATGCCATTCATTCTGAATGGCACCCCACACATCTCATCCTACAGCACGATCACAGGTGCGAGAACCACACGGAAACCGCATGTTCAAAAAGACCATGTGGTTTCCGTGCGGATGCGTTTTGGAAAAGATGCATGCACCTTTTCCTTGCATGAAACGTGGACACAGCAGTTCATTCAAATAAGTGTTCTGCCATGTCTGTGCAAATGTGAACCGCATGGCCTGCACTAGTGTGAACCCTAAAAAAACACCCATTATTCTCCTTCAAATAATGTGAGCTCTGATGGCTTTCTGACACCTAATATATATATATGTCATTAAATTTAAATAAAAGCTTGGTGTGTCTTGTAAAGTGAATGACTGCATGGTTTTATCTATAATTAGCTTCCAGCATGTCTTGACATGAGCTGTCCTTCTGTAATAATAACTAGAAGCCTGAAACTTACTAAACACCCACTCTTAAAAACCTGAAGGACCATATTATGTAAATATAAAGCTACGTGTATATGTTTCTATATTTGTATGGAGTCACTGCACTTGTTGATCCAAGGCGTACCTACAAAAGCCTTTTACAACAGTTTGTGTCCAATATCCAGAACAGTATTTAGAGTCACAACAGGATTACAAGGAATTTTCCCACAGCTGTGTAATATAGAGGTCTTACTACTGGGTTTGAAGTATATATAAAGTTGAAAAACTTTTCTTTAATTTTGGAAAGAGTAGGGAAGAGTTAGAACCTTTGTCTGGCTTTCATTGCTGTGTCTATTGCTGATGGATTCCTTCTGTGTATACAGTATGTCCTGGTGACTATTTTTTTAGAAAATGAAGAAATCCAAAATGTTACGGTTGTGGGAAGTCTTCCAGTGGGGATACCTGCTCTGGTGACAACTAAAAGGGAATCTCATTTTGTGGAGATTCCTCTCACTTTTTATGTGTGTGTCTGGAACAATAAGTGAAAGGAAATCTCTCCCAACAGATATTAAGGGCCCTTTCACATAAAAGATCTGATCAGGTCCACCTCAGGGGCGGACTGACAACTCATGGGGCCCCCGGGCAATAGGGGATCATGGGACCCCTGTGTCCTTGCCCAAACTGAAAAAAGGCCTATGAAAAAGGTACCAGGGGCATCTCATGGGGCCCCCTACTGACCCTGGGCCCTCGGGCAGTGCCGAGTTTCCAAATGGTCAGTCCACCCCTGGTCCACCTGTCAGTTTTTCAAGCGTACCTGATCAGACAGTCCATTCACCCCTACAGACCAGCGGTTGTAAACTGACTTGTGTGCATTTACACCCACCTGCGATCCGGTCTGCTAAACAAAGAAAATGAGCATATCAGATTGGAGGGCAGTCAGGTGTAAACTGACAGCAAAGTCCATTTACTCGTGGCCACCCACAGAGCAGAGTAGGCTCCGTACATGTCTGCTCTGTAGAAACTGAGTGGTCACGGATGTGTCATTTGCCCTCTCTGCTCCGTTCAGCAAGGGGTCAACGGACAGATCCCATGCTGATTTCAATGCCCCGAGTGAAAGAGGCCTTTACTTATCTCCATACAAAACTTTTTTTTATTTTAATATAGTTAGGGAGAATTTAACCATTTTAATTTTTTTGTTGCTGTTTTTTCGTTGGAGTAAACTCCTCTCATTTCCTGTCTACGTGAAACCCTGGCACACCAGGACACATAGGCTTGTCAGCAAATCAGTAAACAAAGGAATATCTTCCCAGTGGACACAAGGTAACCTTGAGTCCTCATGCACACTGGATGTTTTGATAATGATGGTAACGTTAGCTGTGTAAAGTCATATTAAAAACGTGAGTTTTTCAGCTTTTTTTAGCGTTTTTGCATTAGCGTTTAGTGGCGTTTTTTTCTACGTTTGCATTTTTAGCATTTTTAATTAATAAAAAAAAAATGTGGTCAAAAAAATGTCCAAAAACGCTGGTTTGTGGCGGTTTACCATGTTTTGCCACGTTTTTTTTTTCAGCGTTAGAGCTTTTTTTACAGCTAAAAAACTCCTCTATAAACACACTAGTCCTGGGTTTTTTTTCAGCGAAAAAACGTTGAATACAGTCTATATGTGCATGGACACATAGGATAACATGCTGGGGGGTTTACTGGCTGTAGAAAAAACATCAAAAGCCAAAAACAGCCGCTGTAAAATCTTCAAATGTTCATGAGGACTGACCAACACACTTGCCTTGTGATTGTACATTAGAAAACCATAGTAGTCACCAACAAGGAAACAACCTTTATCTCACTGTTCTGTTTTGAATTCCTATACAGGGAAACACCCAAATCAACCCAGATTGGAGAAAATTCTAATAAATAGGAAAGCTAAACACAGCTCAGAAAATGTACTAAGAGTAGACTGTGAAGAGTCAGTGTTAGAAAGGCCTTGAGAATGATGCTGCTTTATATGAAATGGGATCTACTGTGGTAACCCAGGGCAGCCAACCAGCATCTGGTTTACTGAAGTCAAAACAGTGAAGGGTGACTCCTTGGGGTTTATTTACTAAAGCTGGAGAGTCCAAAATCAGACTCCCTTCTGCATAGAAACCAATCAGCTTCCAGGTTTCATTGCCAAAGCTTCATTGAACAAGCTGAGGTTAGAAGCTGATTGGTTTCTATGCAGAAGGGAGTCTGATTTTGGACTCTCCAGCTTTAGTAAATAAACCCCCTTATGTCTTCATGTTCCTGCCTTGTACATATTGCTTTGTCATAAATGCTTGAAGGCGTTTGTGCCCATACATGATTTCTGCCATGTTGGTTGTACGTGCAGGCCAGCAGACATCTGGATTGCGTGGCACATAAACAGTTATTTGGAAATTCTGTAAACTTTTCCGGGAGGAGGATTAGCAGTTCCCTGTGATGTGTTCTCACTACCTTGCTGAATTCTGAATGTTTTTTTCTGTTTCTGACAACTCTGTCTGCATCTGGGGGCCTTCCTTTCTTTCTTTCTTTCTTTCTTTCTTTCTTTCTGCCTGCTGGTAATTTTACATTTTAGGTGTCTATCTCTATGTTTATGATTATGATTTTAAGACTGTTTCATCTAGCTCCTCACTACCTGTCAGACTTTCTCATTTTGCCCCCTGATTGTTACTTTTAAACCCTTCCCTCGTGTTTTACCCAGGAATTTTTTGCTGCTTCTTCAAACATTTAGCTTCTGATTACTGCTCTACACAGGATGATCATTGCCCAATCAAGCTGGCTACATTCAGATCAGGAAATGATCTCATGCCATTGGGCGCTTTGTGACTTTTGCAGACCTAGTCAGTCAGTTTCAGGGGAAAAATCCATTTTCCTAATACAGCTATTTTCCTCTGAAATAAGTCAAGCTGCTCAGGCATAAACATGCACTCTAGGCAGTCTGTGCCTGAATGTTTCTGCACATGGTTGCGTTTGCACATCTGTGCAGCCACTGATGTCTGTGGATAGGTTCACTCACAAAGTTTATTTCTATGGTCCCTTTTGTGACCCAGGGCTCTGTTTGTCACATGACTTTCTGTCTGCAAATACTTGTCCCTCTGACACCTAACAACCTATCAGGTTCCAGCCTTAACAGCAAAGCTTGCAGTGCGTCTAACAGAAAATAGATGCACAGTATTCTACTATTATTATTTCACTGAAATTCTCAGCACTCTTACCAATAGCGGAGTCACAGTACACAGACTGGGGGTGTCTGATGCCGCACGAACAGGACCAGGCTTCCTGGCTGAGGCATCCCAAAACCAACAGTACCACCAGGGCGAACATTGTGCAAAGTGCTTGTTTTGCTGAGCTGCAAAAAAAGAAGGGAGGAAAAGTACACATTAGGGACTGCATGCCACAGTCAGCTGAAACAGTTTTTAGAAGTAGATTTTTAAGTAGTTTTATCCATATATATTTCTAGTATCTATATGGTGCAAAGAATAGGTCAGAGATTTGTAAGAAACCCATGCAGAGTGTTGGCAGGATACTTTGCCAAATTGGGGCAATTGAGTACTTTTCTTGTGGTTTCTAGGTTTGCCTTTGGATGGTGAGGGGTTCATTGATGCTGTGCTGTGGAAATAACAAGGTTAAGTGCTGTACCTTAGCTGTGGCACGTGAGGGGACAGGGGTTAAATGACACTGTACTGCAAGACTAGAGAGGGGTTAAATGACACTGTACTGCAAGACTGGAGAGGGGTTAAATGATGCTATGCTTGGCTCTAATAGGACAGGGGTTAAATGATGCTGTGCTTGGCTCCAATAGGACAGGGGTTAAATGATCTGTGCTTGGCTTCAATAGGACAGGGGTTAAATGATTCTGTGCTTGGCTTCAATAGGACAGGGGTTAAATGATGCTGTACCTGGCTTCAATAGGACATGGCTTACATTATTCGGTGCTTGGGTTCCAATAGGACAGGGGTTAAATTATTCTGTGCTTGGCTCCAATAGGACAGGGGTTAAATTATTCTGTGCTTGGCTCTAATAGGACAGGGGTTAAATGATTCTGTGCTTGGCTTCAATAGGACAGGGGTTAAATGAATCTGTGCTTGGCTTCAATAGGACAGGGGTTAAATGATGCTGTGCTTGGCTTCAATAGGACAGGGGTTAAATGATGCTGTGCCTGGCTTCAATAGGACAGGGGTTACATTATTCGGTGCTTGGTTCCAATAGGACAGGGGTTAAATGATTCTGTGCCTGGCTTCAATAGGACAGGGGTTAAATGATTCTGTGCCTGGCTTCAATAGGACAGGGGTTAAATTATTTGGTGCTTGGTTGGCCAATAGGACAGGGGTTAAATGATGCTGTGCTTGGCTCTAATAGGACAGGGGTTAAATGATGCTGTGCTTGGCTCCAATAGGACAGGCGTTAATTATTCTGTGGTTGGCTTCAATAGGACAGGGGTTACATTATTCGGTGCTTGGTTCCAATAGGACAGGGGTTAAATGATGCTGTGCCGCACTCCCATAAGACAGGGGCTATGTGATGCTGTGCTGGCCATGCCGTGCTGGCCTTTGGCCAATGAAGTGTTGCATATTGCTGTGATGGACGGTGTAGTAATTTGGCAGATGGGCAGGGATGCTGCACAGAGTCAGAGAAAGAAGAACCATGATGGTATTTGAAGGAAGGTGTTAATAGATATTAAGAGAAAATATAGAGCCATTCTCCCGTCCTTCAGCCTAGCAGTACACTGAGATTTAGTGGTGCTCTGTTACGAAGACATGGTACCAGCAGGGGAGAGAGTGATTGCAGATAGCCAGCCTTGCAGCACACGAAAGCATTAGTGATGCTCTGTTACAAAGACATGGTACCAGCAGCATAGAGAGTGATTGCAGATTGATCCCTCCAACCACTTACCTGATCTCAGGATTGTCAGTGATTCTGGAGCTCTGTTCTGGACCTCTCCATGCCACGTTTGGAATTTAAAGCTCCTCACGCCCCCTCCCTCTTATGCTATGATTGGCCAAGAGCCCAGCCCCAGACGCCATCCCTATTAGTCAGAGGTTTCAAAACAGGAAAAGATCATAGGAGCAGCTGGGAAATGAGTCTGGTCACTTGCAGGGTTAAGGCATGCTAGGTTATGTTACCAGTTCAATCAGGTAAAGTCAGGCACAAACTACGTGACAGCCCCGCAATCCCCCGCAAAATTGAAGCATGCCTGCGTATAACATTATCCTAGCCATGCAGCAAACTTAAAGTATCTACAGTTGTTGATTTTACATATTTCTAGGGAAAAAAATCTTCTGAATCTTCACTGCTGTTCCCCTGACAATTACAGATTTTAAAGATATGTCCCAGGAAAAAATGCCCCTGTGTTTCAGATATACTGTAATATCTTGCAGCAACTTTATTGTCCTCTATTAAAATTCTGTGCGGATGGATTGTTATAATTAGAGAACATTTAGGGCAGATTTACACCAGATGCAGTCCAGTGTGGTTTTTTTTCTGCATCAATAATGCATTTACAGTAGGTTATATGGGTTCCAATGGCATAGTTCACACTGGTGAAGTGCGTTCCAGAACAGTCAAAATTAGAACATGCTGCATTTTTTCTGTACTGAACTTTACTGGAACATGGCAAAAACGTATCAAAAACGCACTGGTATGCATCTAAATGCATCAAAACAGCGTTGGAGCACATTACAGCAAAAAAAGAAAACAAAACAGGAAACCTTGGGAAAAAAGAAAAATGAGGGAAAAATACACTGGATTGCATCCAGAACGCATCCAAAGTGCAATTTTGTGGTGCAAACTAGCCTTTTAAAATGTGCAAAAAATTATATTCTGGTGTGATCATGGGCGAACTGACCATTTGGAAACTCGGGCACTGCCCGAGGGCCCGGGGTCAGTAGGGGGCCCCATGAGATGCCCCTGGTACCTTTTTCATAGGCTTTTTTGAGTTTGGGCAAGGACACAGGGGCCCCATGATCTCCTATTGCCTGGGGGCCCCATGAGTTGTCAGTCCGCCCCTGGGTGTGATCAATATGACATTGGGTTTTCTGCAGTCTTTTGAGAGTTAGTTCAAAGGCAAAGTATAAATTTTAACTGATTTTCGGATATTTGTTTAAGGTAGTTGTAAACCTCAGATATGAAATATGAACAAAGCATATCCCTTTCTAGTGTGTACTTGTCTCAATTAAGAGCACTAAGTGTCATTTCTCTCTGCTGCTTTGTTCCTCTGCTATCAGCATTAATCATTTCTGATAAGTTTTTCCTGACACCAAGAGAAAAATGGTGACAGGAGCTCCAGCAGATTGACAGCCTCAGCTCTGCTCCTGTGAGCTGTGCGAAGAGAAGTGTGTCCCTTCCTTCCCCCCCCCAATCAGTTCTCAGAGCTCTCCTCACTGAGCTCTGCAGAGTGTAATTTCAGCTCTCCACCCCCTTATTTCTGAACTCTCAGATAAGCTTTATCAGTTCAGCACTTTGAACAGCTGTAGAGAAGAAAAGACTGCAGATAGACAGGTACAACTTGTAGCAGGATTTGTTTAATCTCTGTGTATTTCTGGAGGCCAGTCACTTCACTGGGCATATGTAAAAAAAAAGATTTAAAAAAGATATCAGCTTGAAGTGAATAAGTTATCAATGTTTAGTAATGTTTAAAAAAACATGTTTGTGTTGTATAATTTGTAATTATATTTTCAAACGAGGACAGCCATATTTGCTTTTTATCTATTCAGGATATTAAACCAAGTCTATGTGGTTGCTTTGCTAGAGTGGTAGAGACCAGGGGCGGACTGACCATTTGGAAACTCGGGCACTGCCCAAGGGCTCGGGGTCAGTAGGGGGCCCCATGAGATGCCCCTATTACCTTTTTCATAGGCTTTTTGAGTTTGGGCAAGGACACAGGGGCCCCATGATCCCCTATTGCCCGGGGGCCCCATGAGTTGTCAGTCCTGCCCCTGGTAGAGACTGTTCACATAAGTTATTGAATTAAAAATGTGAAAGTCACACAAAGAAACAATGCAATAATAACTCAAAATATGTGCATAAAATAAAGGGAAAATTGGATGTTTGCCTCATGTCAATCAAATTTGGATATTAACCAGCATTCTTGGTGGCACCTGGTATTTTGCAGTGATGACCAGGGACTTATACTGCCCACCTAATAATATTCCCCTTTAAAGTGGTAGTAAACTAATTTTTTATACTTTTACCTGCAGGTAAGCTTACAATAAAGCTTACTTGTAGGTAAAATGAATATCTCCTAAACATGCACTGTTTAGGAGCTATTCTAGTGAGCGTCAGCAAGTGACATCACCGGCGCATTCGAACTGAAGGAACTGCATACCCATGACGTTCCTTCAGAGCTGTGTGCCGCGGCCATTCAAGTAGCCACAGCCCAGGAACCCGGAAGGAAGACCAGGAAAAGATGGAAGGCTCTGCAGTGGTGACAGCGCATCGCTGGAGGGCTTCGTTTTCAGATAAGTCTTTCATAATGTGCTAGTATGCATGCATACTGGCACATTATGACATTACCTTGCAGGGGAAAAATCTTTTTTTTTAGGTTTACTGTCTTTAACACTGGCAGCTAGAGACTTACACTATATTGCCAAAAGTATTGGAACGCCTGCCTTTACACGCACATGAACTTTAATGGCATCCCAGTCTTAGGCTGGCCATACACTATACAAGTTTCTTACAATTTTCTGTCCAATTTCTGCCCAATTTCCTTTAGATTTACCTTCAACTGTGTAGTGCAAGGGCCTGCCTAATTGGATACAACTGAAAGTGTTGTTTGGGTTTGACCTCCTATTATATGGTTTTTGGTAAATCTAAAGAAAAAATCTCAAGAAAATTGTATAATGTATGGCTAGCCTTAGTCCGTAGGGTTCAATATTGAGTTGACCCACCCTTTGCCGCTAAAACAGCTTCAACTCTTCTGGGAAGGCTGTCCACAAGGTTTAAGAGTGTGTCTATGGGAATGTTTGACCATTCTTCCAGAAGTGCATTTGTGAGGTCAGACACTGATGTCAGAGGAGAAGGTCTGGCTCGCAGTCTCCGCTCTAATTCTTCCCAAAGTGTTCTATCAGGTTGAGGTCAGAACTCTGTCCAGCCCAGTCAAGTTCCTCCACCCCAGACTCACTCATCCATGTCTTTATGGACCTTGCCTTGTGCACTGGTGCGCAGTCATGTTGGAACAGGAAGGGGCCATCCACAAACTGTTCCCATAAAGTTGGGAGCATGAAATTGTCCAAAATGTCTAAGTATGCTTAAGTGTTCCTTTCACTGGAGCTAAAGGATCAAGCCCAACCCCTGAAAAATAACTCCACACCATAATTCCCCCTCTC